GAAAGCAGAAGTGGAAAAAAGAGGAAAAAGAAAGTAGATAGGGATAGATGGATAGATAAATGGACACAGAAAGGAAGAGGGGGAGATAAAGAGAGAAAAAAGAGTTAATAAATCGGAAGGAACAAATTATTCGCATTATTGTAAGAGACAAAAAATACAATGCAATCGATTGAATAAAACATTGATATTTTCTCCTGCCTGCGACTCACAGGAGAAAATGCCAGAAATTTATTCAAAGCCAAAAAGAGTGATTCATGTAGTTATTATGTGATTTTTTCTGTTCTCTTTATATCGTCGTTTTGCTCTTATCCTCATCTTCATCCACACTGTCATCGTCATCCTGGTCATCGTCGTCATCCTAATCAGTCATTATCGTCAAAACGTGTTGCTTTTGTCATCATCAGACTTACAGTATTTTTTTTGAATATCAATGTCAATACATTTTTTTAAAAGATTTCCTTATCATTGAATTTAATGAGAGATAGGCCTATGTTTTTTTTTTCGTCAATGACACTAAACGTTCATCTGTGATTTTCTCCCAAGATAGGCCTACCGTTGAGGCAGATATTACAATCAGTGGCTTTTTTCCCCCTAAAACCTTGACCATTACGAAAGGCCGTTTCCGGTGTGGGTCTGACAAAATGGAGGAAAGATCGTGTCAAAAATTCCCTTCTTTATTTTATTCTAGGATTGGTGTGGCTCTCTCTCTGGTCTCTCCTTTTAGCTCTTCTGTAATAACTTTTTTTTTCTTCTGCTCTCCTCTCCCTCTTCCTGTTCCTCGCCTACTCCCTTCCCCCATCCCATTTTCACCTCCTCCCCACCCTTCTCCCTCCCATTCTATCCCTCCTTTTCTCTCCCCCTCTCCTACCCCTCCTCCTTCCCCACCCGCTCCCCTTTTCTCTCCCTCCTCTCCTTCTCCCCACCCCTCCCTTCTCCTTCCCCACCAGCTCCCCTTTCTCTCTTCCCACCCACTCCCCTTTCCCTCCATCCTCCCCTTCTCCCCCCTCCCCCTCCTCCCTTGTCCGATATATCCCAGCATCAGCCTCTGGTCCGCCGCCTCTCCCCGGCGAGGCCCCGGTGGGTCAGCGAGCGGGCAGGGCTGGGCATCTGCGGGGCACGGGGACGGGAACGCCCTCTCCTTATTTTTTTTCATCGGTATGTGCCCCGGGCCCTAATTTGGGGGCTCGGGACGGACTGTCTCACTCCTTTCTTTTTCTCGCCGTTGTGAAGTCCTATTGTTTTTCTTTCTTTTTTTTTTTTGTTTTTATTTTTGAGGATCCGGTTACCGTGTGCGCGTCCGGGCCGGGTGTTGGGTAATGGGCGAGGGGGTGGGAGGGATGGTGGGAGGGGGAGGGGAAGATTTCTCTGTGGATGAGGGGGAAGGGAGGGGAAGGGGGAAGGGATAGGGAGGTGAGGAAAAGATGGGGAGGAGGACATCGACTTGGGTTCAGTACCGATGAAATAAAAGGGGAACGAGATTAGTAAGTTCATGTTCGGAATGAGAAGACCTCCTGCGTTCATTTCTTGTCTGTTTTTGTATTTCGACGTCGGGCGGAGGATCGAGGGTGAGTTGAAGCGAGGCCGAGTTGAGGGCGTAGTCGAGGACGAGGTCGAAAACATGAACGAAGTCGAGGACGAGGTCAAAGACGAGGACGACGGCGAAGACGATGGAGATGGAGAGAGAGGGAGAAGGCGAAAAGACGACCAAAACGAGGGCGAAAAGGGAAGAAAAAAAACGAGAACAAGAACGGATTGCGAGCGAAGACGAGATCGAGGACGGGGACGAGGCCGCCCCCCCCCCCCCGCCATTGTGCTTCTCGCCGGACGCTAAGTCGTATTCAATCTCGGCCGCGTCCGATTCCTTCGCCGCCTCAGCCGTCGAAACAATATTGATCTTCCCAATCCCGGCGGCCTCAGAGACCCTCCGTAAGGGCGACCGCAAGCTTGACCTGCCACGCCGGACTGACCCTTAACGACCACGAGGGATAGCGCACCTCTGGCCGGGTAATGGGGCCTTAAATCACGAGGCCCAGAGTCCTCAGACCGCAGAAGGGCCTCGCGCTCGCCTCTCCTGCGACCCTCCTCCGGCGCCGCCTCCGCCTCCTCCGCCTGCTCGGCCTCCTCGTGCTCTCGCCGCTCCTCGTTCCTCATCTTTTCTCCCTCCTTCTTAGTCCTCTTATATCTTCACGTCCTCCTCCTCCTCCTCCTTCTTCTTTCTTCTTCTTCTTCTTCTTCTTTCTTCTTCTCTTCTTCTTCTTCTTCTTCTTCTTCTTCTTCTTCTTCTTCTTCTTCTTCTTCTTCTTCTTCTTCTTCTTCTTCCTCCTCCTTCCTCCTCTTCCTCCTCTTCCTCTTCCTCTTCCTCTTCCTTCTCCCCCTCCTTCTTCCCCACCTTCTTGTTCTTGTTCTTCTTCCACTTCCTCCTCCTCCTAATATTAATGACGATGATAATGATAAATATTATTATTGTTGTTATTTTTATTATTGTTATCATTATTGTTATTGTTATTATCATCATTATTGTTGTTATTATTGATAAATATAAATGTTGTCATTGTGATTGCTATTATTTTAGTTGTTGTCACTAATGTTATTATTATTGTTGTTATTATTTTTATCATTGTTGCTGTTACTCTTGCCGTTATCGTTATTGTTATTATTATTATTATTATTATTATTATCGTTATTATCCTTATTATTTATTTATTATTATTATTATTATTATTATTATTATTATTATTATTATTATTATTATTATTATTATTATTGTGATTATTATTATTACTATTATTATTATTTTTATGATAAAGATAATGATGATGATATTGATAACATCATTGCTGTCTATGATAATAGTAAAAATAATAGTCATAATGATATCATAGTAATAATGATAACTATAAGACAACCAGCCGATATCGCTCGCCCGCCCATACCCCCGCCCATACCCGTGCCCGCCCAACCCGTGCCCGCCCACACCCGTGCCCCGTCCCGTCTTCTCCATCGGCCGTGTGTTGTGCCCGGCGACAGAAACAACAATAAAGAAGGATCAAGGGAAGACATTTTTGCTGTGTCAGTTTACTCGAGACTTGATCCTATGTTGTAAAGTCTGCCCTTGTTTATGTTCTCCCCCCCACCCCTTGTGGTTCCTCGGCCGCGGCCAAGAGGCATATGCGCTTGGCTTGGATGCGTGTGTGTGTGTGTGTGTGTGTGTGTGTGTGTGTGTGTGTGTGTGTGTGTGTGTGTGTGTGTGCGTGTGTGTGTGTGTGTGCGTGTGCGTGTGCGTGTGTGTGTGTGCGTGTGCGTGTGCGTGTGTGTGTGTGTGTGTGTGCGTGTGTGTGTGTGCGTGTGTGTGTGTGTGTGTGTTGTGGGGGGTTATATATCGATTGTTTTGTTTCTGTTTGTCTATCTGTCGTTTTGTTTGTCTTTATTGATATATGTCAATGTTTGTCTTTGTGTATGTCTGTCTGTCTTTATTGATATATGTCGATATACAGTATATCTCTGTGTAACCGTTTCTTTATCTACAACATGAATGCGTATACGAACCTTTAAGCATATATATGAACATTTAAGCATATATATGAACATCTAAGCATATAATATATATGAACTTCTAAGCATATATACCCCCATATGTCATGTGATATACATAAACAAAAACATCATGCATAAACAAATACGTAGATTGGTCATTAAGTAGATAGATACATACCCACAGATCTACACACTCATATAAATACGACCCAGATCTCAGTGTGAAATGGAAGCTACGTTAACTGTAGATAAAAATCCTCGCGGTACGACCTCGCCTTCGCTGCTCGTTCGGCGAGGGAAAAAGTGCAAAAACATCGAGACCTTTTTTTTTTTTTGCGTCGTGCCAAAGGTAAATCGACGGACCACAGTGGCTTCGTTAACACACTCTCCGGGTAAAGTGTGGACCGTCCTTTTATCGGCCGGTTGTAGGGTGCATGGCGAGTGAGTGAGTGGGTGAGGGGGTAGATGTGTGAGTGAGTGGTGAGGGTAGGTGTGTGAGTGAGTGGGTGAGTTAGGTGGTGAGTGAGTGGTGAGGTGTGTGAGTGAGTGGGTGAGGGGGTAGGTGTGTGAGTGAGTGGGTGAGGGGTGAGGTGTGTGAGTGAGTGAGGGGGTAGTGAGTGAGTGGGTGTAGGTGAGAGGTGTGTGAGTGAGTGGGTGAGGGGGTAGATGTGTGAGTGAATGAGTGAGTGAGTGATTGAGGGGTAGATGTGTGAGTGAGTGAGTGAGTGAGTGAGGGGGTAGATGTGTGAGTGAGTGAGAATGAGTGAGGGAGGAAGGTAGGGAGTAGGTGAGTGAGTGAGTGAGTGATGAGTGAGGGAGATAGGAGTAGTGAGTGAGTGAGTGAATGAATAAGGTGAGTTAATGTGTGAATAAGTTGAGTGAGGGAGTAGTTAGTAAGTGAGTGCATGGGTGTGAATGAATGTGATAGTGTTTGAGTAGGTCCCTCTGTAGGTTGGTGGAGGGCAGGTGTATGGTTTGAATGGGAGGAGGAGGATTAGGAGAGGAGGAGGAGAAGGAGGAGGAGGAAGAAGGAGGAGAAGGAGGTTACAAGAGATGAGGGAGGAGGTAAGAGAAATGAATGAAGAGGAGGAAAAGGGAAGAGGGAGGGGGAGAAATTTAAAAAAAAGAGGGTGATGAAAAGGGGGAGGAGAGGAGAGAAAAGGAAGAAGGAGAGGATGGAAGGAATGAGAAGGAGAAGGAGGGGGATAAACCAGGAGAGGAGGAAGAAGGAGGGAGGGATGGAGGAAGCTCGAAAAAAGGAGGGTGAAAGGAGGGAGGGAGGAGGCTCGAAAAAGGAGGGGGAGGAAGGGAGGAGGAGGAGGAGGGTGACGAGGGGTGGGAGGCCAGCGGGGGCGGGGCAAGAGGACGTGATTTACACCCGTAGAGGCCGGCTGATATCGAGTCATTTCCTTCGCTCGCGCCCATCACCTGTGTTAGTCCCGGGTTCGCCTCCTCCCCGCTCACAC